TTTTGACTTTTTTGCGGAGCCAGTGCTGGGGCGGAAGCAGCAAAAAGAGAATAAGAAAAAGGAACGGTGAAGCGGAAGAGGAAGAAGAGTGTGTGAGTGTGAGTGTGTGTTCCATCACTGAGAAGGCAAGGGCGCGGTGGTGTTGTTTTTTTTTTTTTTTCTCCTTGAAACTCTTTCTTCTTTTTTTTTTTTAAATTTATTTATTTATTTTTGCTCTCCGCAGCTCTGGGGAGGGAAAAATGGGGGCGGGGCGGAGGACGTACTTCCCTCCTCCCTGGTTGTGTGTACATTTGCCCTCATGGGCGGTGGAGACCAATTCCTTTTTTTTCTTCCTTTCTTTCTCTTCGGTTCCCTCTGCAAGAGTTGAAGGGCGCGGCTGCAGCGAACACATTTTTTTTTTTTTATCCAACCATTACGAGGAAGGCGAAAAGGTACTTTGCAGCACTTTTGCTGTTGCTGCTGCTGTTGTCGTTGATTCTGTGGATGGATCATCATCATCACCACTTTGATGTGAAGTTGCCAGAGGCAGTGGGCATTTTAGGGCCGAATGGGGAAGTGATTCCACTCGATGACCCACGGGCAAAACGTTTTGAGCCGCCGATGGTGTGCAAATGCCCCCCGCAGCAATACCCCCTGCCGGTGGCAGAAGTTGTGCCAACAGCTGGTGTGGAACCGCCAGACACGGAAGTCACGGCAAACAACAAGAAAAACATATGAAGAGGGAGGAAAAGAAAAAATGTAGTTATTTTATATGATTTTACAGGATGCCTGCGATGCAGGGGGGGGGGGGGGGGGACGCCTGGTTCGTGGTGAGAAGTGGTGGGGAGAAACTAGAAGATGACGGCAAATATTATCCGTTAGCCATAATTGCGTGGGTCTCTCTTTCTTTCTTTCTTTCTTTATATTTATTTATATGCGTGTATATATTTAATGTGCCGTTTCGAAGTTTGTTTGTTTTCTTTGATGTTGTTGTTGTTCTTTTCTGCTTCTGCATGTATTTTTCTCTGCTGGCGCCCAACTTGTGGCGGGAGTTGTTTCGCTTGTGGCCTACTCCTCCGTTGCTTCGATGTGAGTGGAGGAGAAGGAAAAGAAAAAAAAAGGAAGTTGTGTCCACCGGACAATCATTCACTTTCTTTCTTTCTTTCTCCCTACACGTATATAAATATAGTAGTGGTGGTGGTATTGGGTTAGGGAGGCAAGTAATACGGATGGTGCGGGTGAAGGCAAAGGCGCGGAAGGGCGATGATGCCTTTCAGACACGCAAGCAGAAGGTGGGACGAAAAAAACTTGCACCTGCCACAGCGACACGTGCCGAGGTGCACGCACGAACGCTGCGGGTGACAACACCATCTGCCATTGCCCGCACGACCCTCGACGAGGCCCTCAGGGAAGGGGACGATCCGGAGAGAAAAGGACGCAAGCCGCAGAGTCGAGAGGAACTGCACTCGGTGGCAGTTTCGGCGGAAAAGATGCATCATGACTTCAAGGAGCAGCTTTCGAATACGCGGCATTATAAGAAGGCGTCTCGGGCTGCCGGCTTCGTGTCACTCGTCAGGGCAATCAAAGGGAACTACGAGACGATGGGGACAATCGCCCAGACGCCAGGTGTTGGAATTGCTGAACGAAGCGATGAGGCACTTTTAAATCCTATTGAAATTCTCTCTGCTTTTACAAGTGCGCTCGATGCAATGCTGGACACAGACAACGACGTTCGTCGTGCGGCCCTTGCTACGTTGGAAACGATCCTCCAGCCCTCGCCATCTTCACGTGACCGTGGGGTGCGGGACGAAAAAGTATCGCCGATTGAGTCTACCGTCTCGGCAAGCGGTAGGGTGACGTTTGACATGGACCGGACCCGGGCGGTGTTGCGCATTGTTGATGTGACGTTGACGCATGCCATGACATCTGTGCGTCGTTCTGGCATTGAGTTGCTGCATATTATTTTGCGGGTTTCCCCTCATGATGTTCGTGCGGTATTGCGGGAGTCCGATGCATGGGTAAAGATGGTGAGTCGTGTTTCATCCCTCCTTCTGCAAGGCACGAGTGGCTCTGGTGCTGGTGCAAAGACGATGGGGATGACTCACTTGGTTCCAGATCTCCTTGAAACGATGTTGCTGCAGTGTGATGATGTGAGGAATGCCGGAGGATTTCGTGGTGGCTTCCAGCAGGCGGAGGAAGACGTTGGGGCAGGCGCCACACCGGAACGCATCCTCGAGCTCTTTGAGGAATGCACACCGAAATGGAGCATGGAGTGGAAGGAGTTGATGGAGATGCGGACTGCCATCTTCCGCGATGCCCAGCGTGTGCAGCGTGCCACGGCGATTGCACGCG